TTACCTGTAGGACCTTTGAAAGTACAAAGGACACTGTGCACTTTCCCATAGGATCCCGTGCAGAATAAAAAAGATTTGCAGGAGCCTTATAGGTAGAGCTTGAAATTTCCAGAGACAGGACCTTGAATTTAGAAACACCTTCTTCTCTCTGTCTCTCTGCCTCTGTGCCTCATTTTTTTTTCCCCATCTTTTTTCCCCTCCTGGTGCACCAGCTCGATTGTTTCCTTTCAAAGGCAGAGATGGGCTCTGCTGCCTGTGTCGGCTCTTTGCCGCGCAACGTGTTAAAAAAAAAAAAAAAAAAAAAAAACAACGGACAATGCGAAGGAAGGTTTGCCTGGGGAGGAAAAAAAAATAAAGGTTAAAACTGGTCTAACTCCTCCTCTCCCATTCCAAACCGACGGCTACCCGGGAAATGTTTTCTGAAAGTAATAAACGCTATTCAAATGTGTGCACAGAAGGGTTTGCAAAACTCCTATTTTTTCCCCTTTATTTTTCCCCATATAAAGTATTTCTAAGTTATAAAATATACAGTCCAAGCCTGAAGTCTAAGGCTTTCCAGTGGAAATCATTGATCTAAATTTGCTCCTTTTAGATTTGCTTGAATGTGCTTTGATGAGACGCTGTTTTGGTGTTTAACTGCATATGAGGATAATTTCTGGACATGTAAATAAAAGCATCTTGCATGTGGGGAAAAGCATCATATCTTGTTGTAAATGATTAATCACTTAACGTAGAGGCAACTTATCCTTTATTTTATCAAGGGAGGATTGAAAAAATATTAATTTTATTTCATCTATCTATGTACCTATCTACCTATCTATCGATACATCCATCCAACCATCTACTAAAATAGAAGATATATGCACTACATAATGTGTGCATTTAACCCCTGTATACCAACATATATATGTGTAAATGTATAACTGGATTCACATATATGCATTTAAATACACTCCTATATAAACTAACCAGGTTTGCGTGCACATGTGCATATGTAACATGCAGTCTCCATGTGCCTACATGTGGAAGAATATATATAATTTACATATCTAAATGTGGCAACTAATATGTCTATACATGGGGAAAAGTTGCCTGTTCAGAGATGTACGTGTGTATGGGTGCCTGTATGAGTAAATCTGTGATCGTGCAGCTCTGTATATGTATATATTTTATATGCCTGCATATAAGTCTCTATATGTGTGTTTATGTCTATATCTAGTCACATATATGTCCGTAGCTATATGTAACTATGTAACAGATAATGTTTTTTACTATCCGATTGAGGTAGGCTTCTGCAGCCTATTGTTTCAGACAACAGATATAAGTTGCGATGGAAGAGGAACGTCGGATTTGGTGTCTGTCCCCCATTTCCAATTATAGATGGATCATTACAGACAGAGAAGTACTGAGAATCCAGACATCTGCTCTTCACATGAATGCACTCACCTCCTAGAGAACAGCCTGCCATCATGCTCTGGAAACTGGTTGAAAATGTCAAGTATGAAGATATCTATGAGGTGAGTATATAATATGCATATGAGTAAGAGAGTATATGTATATTTAAATATACATCTAGCATATAGATACAGGCATGGCTATATAATGCATATATAGCTCTGCATATGCATCCAGGCAGAAATAGAGACATATACCAGCATACACGAATATAGAGATGGGAAACAGAGAGTAAATGCTTAAATGCTTATTTATTTGCATATTTGTATTCAGCATGACAAATCCTAAACTTTTTATTTTTTTTTTCATGGAAAAGCTGTTTGATGCGATTTAAAACATCAAAGAAATGATCTGGGGATTGGAATGAGGCAACTTAAAGGCAAGAGTTTGATTGTTTAGATCTCCAATTATATATAATTCGATTAAATATGGACAAATGTTGAGGAAAATTTTTAAAAGAGAGAAAAAACAGAAAAGAAACACAATCCGGTATTCAGGGACTGGATGCATTTCTTTCTTTTATTTTTTATTTTGCAATTCCATGCTCAGATCAACCCGAATATGGATTTTTTATTATTATTATTGTTTTTTCTTGTTTTCACAACCGGATAAGTTTTTTTACGATTTTTTAATACCTCTACACCAAGAGATAAGATGTGCATGTGTACATATACTGGCATTAATTAAGCGGCACATACATTCTTGTGCGTGTGTGAGTTCACACACCCGAACCGATCCAGTCAGAGGCAGCTTCGCGTAGTCCGCGGACACGAAAAGTTGTGAGCTTTATCCAGACCTTATTTTCGAGGTCAAAAAGCAAACCAAAGGGGGAGAAAAAAAATCACAGCTCAAACACTGCGAAACCTTTCTTAATTTTGCACGGTTTCCTGAGCCGGATCTTTCCCAAACGGGCTCTGCGAATTTATTCCCTGTAAGTGAAACCGGCGTGCGGGATTTTCTCAGAAACGAGGGGAGGAAAAAAAAAGAAAAGAAAAAACCTGAAATGATGAGTGAGGATGGCGCTCTACAAAATAATATTTTTTTTCTATTGTTTTTATTTTTCAATTGAGTGGGAGGCGTTTGCGCGGCGATCATGGGGGAGATTTTCAGAAGGGCGCAATCCGCGGGAGCTGCTCCGAGGGGAGGCGGCCGGGCAGGGACCGGGGACCGGGAAGGGGCCGGGACAAGGAAGGGACCGGGGACAGGACCAGGGCTGGGGATGGACTGGGCGCTGAGCAGGGACCGGGGACCGAGCAGGGGCTGGTCAGGGACGTGGCAGGGTCTAGGAGTGGGCTGGGGATTGAGCAGCGACGGGGCAGGGAGCGGGGACTGAGCAGAGCCGGGAAAGGACTGAGCACTGAGCAGGGACCGGAGACAGGGCAGGGACTGAAAGCGGGCAGGAGCCGGGGGGGACCGGGCAAGGACCGCGTACCGGGGAGAGAAGGGATACCGAGCGAGGGGCTGGCTGCTGGGCAGGGCCCGGGGGTCGGGCAGGGGCTGGGTACGGGGAAGCGGACGGGCAGGAGCCGGGCAGGGCTGCGGATCGGGAAGCGGCCGGAGCCGCCGGGGAAGCGCCGTCGGGGCCGCCCCGTCCCCAGCCCCGCCGCGCCGCCCGCACCCTGCCCTGCGGGAGCGCCCTGGCACTTACAGAGGGAAAACTGCCGGGAAAAGCGCAGGAAGAGACCGAGGGAAGGTCCAGCTCCGGCTGCTGCCGGCCGGAGAAAGGACGGGATGGAGGGAAGCGGGGAGGGGACCCGCCGGCCGCACGGGAGAAATGTCTCCACTGCCAAAAGCTGTCGTCAGGCTGATTATCATCGGCAAAAGCCAGCGTTTGCAGAAGGAGCAGAGAATGAGCGCACACACGTGTGTGTGTGTGTGTGTGTGCGTGTGTGTGTGTGTGTGTGTGCGTGTCCCCGCGTGTCCCCAGCCCGCTAAGCCCTCGCTGCTTTTCCCTCCCCATCTCCCGGCACAGCCCGGCCATTGTCTCTGCCCGCAGCAGCAGGCGACAAAACATCTCCCGTCCCTGCTGCCGAGGGATGAGGGCTTTTTTTCCACCCTGCTTTCGATGGGGGGTTTTAAGGCGCTGTGGATTTACGGACACCCACGTTTGCAGATTGCCGTGGGAGACAAGAGTTGGGGGAGCGGCTGGGTGGGATTTGGCTGCGGGCAGGGTCTATCCTAACTTGGGGATGCGCTCCAGGGCATTTTGTAACGTGTAGCCTCGCCAAAGAAAGAAAAAAAATTTGGTTTTTTTTTTTTTTTTTTTTTAAGAGCTGAAACCCTCTAGATTTACGTTTAAAAATATTTTTCTCTCTTCTTTCCGATTTATAATTAACAGCACCATAGTAGAGGCGTCTCAGCCACTTAAACTGAATCTGTTCTTAAAACAAAAGTGTGTGTGTGTGCGTGTGCGTGCAGGGGGGGCAGCTCTGGGAAGTGTGAGTCTATTTAGGAAGGAACGTAAGTTGAACTTTAACAGAAATGGCAGACAGTCCAGTTGAACGGGTTCCTGCAACATCAAAAAGGTTTTATATCGCCCCTGGCTTTGCCTCAAAACTATAAATTTACTATCCTATAAAATTTGCTCCATGCATTTTACTTTTGGGTGGAAATCGGGAGATATTTAGACGTTTTGGGCTTTTTTTTTCATATCGGGCGGTAGAAAGATGATTCAGACAAAAATAACAAAAAAAAAACAAACAAACAAAAAAAAGTGGAGCCAAACAATGCAGATTCAAGTATTTATTTGGCTATTGAGAATAAATACGATCTGTAACACGCACCAGAAAGACTTAATCTTCACTGTAAATAGACATATGTTATAGTGACTGCACGTTTCTTCTTCTATTCCTTTAAAAATAATTTTTTTAAAAGCCTCTTTTTTCTTCATTATTTGCTTAAAATCCCCAAGAACAAAAGCACCAAAGGCAATCAATTCCTCGCATCAGGAATGTAAAATTAGATGTATATTAAAACGGAAAAGAAATATACTTCTTCTTCTTCTTTTTCTTCTTCTTCTTCTTCTTTCTTCTTCTTCTTCGCCTCAAGAATTGCTTCATCTCGCTTCCTTGCTCCATCTCAGCAGTGTCTACTTTCCACATCTTCCTCCGCTCGAGTTAATTGAAGTTCTGCCTCTTCCTCGCTAAACTTTTTCCCCCCTCTCCCTCTCCCCAAACTCTGCCTCTGCCAGCCCCCCTCGTCTGATTACATCTAGTAATTCTCCACTGAATGAACGTCATTTACAATAGTAGGGGAGCTCTCGAGCTGGCTGCCAGCTTCACGCTCCATTTGGTCCTGCATTCTCCCTTTAAAGTAGTCGTGTAATATTAATAGTCATGAATATCAATTATTATGAGGCGGTGTAGAGAAGGAAAGGGAGGAAGGGGTAGCGGAGCAGTCTGAGCCTAGCCTTGGGTTGAAGAGGATTGTATTTGGGAGCTCAAAGGCAAAAAAAAAAAAAAAAAAA